ATAACTTTTCAACGTGCTGTATAAATTTCAAATAGGCAGCACACTTATGCAAAGACATGCTAAAGATTACTTGACCGAATTGGCCAGACAAACGGTAGCATAATGAGTAAAAAATGCAGCTTCAAAGGCGCATGCAGTACAAGGGAAACGTACCTTGAAAACGCTCTTGGCGCCCTCACAGTCGAAGTATTCCGAATGACGACTCGTAACAAACATGCGATAATTGTAGTCACTTAAGCTTCAGAGCATCACTGACAGGTGGCATCCATGTCTTACGGTTTTCTAAGTATCTCGAATTTCGGCTTTGCCCCAACTCCGGCATTGCCCCAACTTCCCCTATAAATTAGATTTGTCGTGCAGGACCTTGAGGATCCAGGTTCTTGATTTTTGGTCATGGCACGAGTCTGCTTGAGACACCATTGGCGCTTCCCTTCTTTTAAGCAGCAAAGGGGTCAAAGGGAAAGCAAAGTTATCATAGATGTCATATAAATTCCTCTCCCACTAATTGAGCTTCACGGGAGACTTTTCAAGCTATTCTGAACCACCGGCTGTAACCGTAGCTGCAGTTGACGCTAACTTCACGGACATGACTGGTTCGCCTCTTATCCCGCGCGGGGCTGGGGGGGGGGGTAAATTTTACCCCCCCCTCGCGAATTTTTGCGATATCTCAAAAACGGCGGCGCGCAGCGCCGCCAAACTTTCAGTACCTTTTCTTACATCAATTTCACACGTTCCCTGAAAATTTGAGCGAAATCCGTCGGAAAATTTTTGAGAAATTGACGTTTTAGTGACGTCATGTTCGCCATTTTCGCCTCAAAAACGGCAAAAGTTCAAACGCCGCTAACATCTTCATTTTTAAAGGAATCAAGACGTAACAAAAAAGGTTATACGTAATTTTACTTTGTCTATCAAATGGCTATCTCGGTTTTTTGAAAATTTTGGATTTTGGCCTAAATTTTTTCAAAAAACTGACTTTTTTGGGAAAATCATTATAAAATCCAAAATTTTGAGTCTATCGAAAAAACCGGAATATATGTCAGAGAAGTGGTCTATGTGCACCTACATACCAAATTTTAGAAGAATCGGTTCAAAAATGTGGGAGTTATTCAAAATTTTATGACGTCACGACACACAAAATTTTTGAAAAATGACTTTTTTGGAAGTTCTAGACCTCGTACGGAAACAAAAATAGCACCATTCGATTCGCCGTGAAAAACTGCATCAGATAGACACCTTTTTAGGCCTTAACAACCAACTTCAAAATTTGACCTCACTTGACCTGACCTTGACCTGACCTCGACCTGAAATTCATCCAGAGGTGGTCCATATCACTTATTGAGTGTGCCTATTGAATTCTATGAGTAAAATGACCCATAAAACATGTGTCGCACATGCCCTTTTCTATATTTTGTTTTTTGGTGACCTGACCTGACCTGACCTGACCTTGACCTTGACCTCTGAATGATATTGTATGCAACGAATATTGTCTTGGTAGCCTAAGAACACGTTTTGGGCGATCAGTCTCAGTCCATGACTCCATTCTTCGGCAACTACGGTGCAAGGCCGATACTGTAGAAACTTGCAATTTGTACCCTTGACCTGACCTTGACCTTGACCTCAAACTTTAAATTAAGTACATGATTCTAGTAGTTCGTGATGAGAGCTTTCGATTGGCGTTTGAATTTTCCAAATCGGACCATTAGTTCGGGAGATAACAGGGGGGGGGGGTAAAATTTACCCCCCCCCCCCCAGCCCCGCGCGTTCGGCTGGAGACCCCAGCCCCGCGCGGGTTATCTCTCCGGTCACATCCAGTTCGTGTGCAACTCTGTGCGTATGTATCACATCCCTCTCCGGTGAAAGTGTTCGCTGTTCACTGCTCCCTTCTGCGTAGCGGTCAACCGACCAAGAACACCAGCGCCTCCGCGGGCAAAGAGAGAAGCAATACTTTGGAGCCTCGTCTATAGATGATGCCATTTTTGGGAGGCATGCTACGGCTCTCAGCAGCGATCGGCATGGGGCTGCAGGGATTACGTGACAAAAGATTGTAAGACAAAAGATCGTATGAAAATGATCGTAAGATAAAAATTGTACGACAATAGATCGTAAGCAAAAGAGCGTAAAGCAATAGATCGTATGACAAGATCGTAGGAAAATGATCGTAAGATGAAGATCGTGTGTCGCAAAAAAATTGTACGACATAACCCTCACCCTGGCAGGGCATTTTTCATAACACGGCCTGGCAGGGGGGGGGGGTCGATGCGACCCCTCCCCCTCGCGATTGGCTCCTATGGCACCTAGAAACACCAAATTTGGAAGGCAAGTGGGCCCCCTAGAGTTCTCGCCCCCCTGCAAATTTGGTTGCTCTAGGTCAATATTTAGGGGGGTTTTGGGGGGGGTATTAATGTAAAAATTTCGCTAAAAACAGTTCAAAAGTTTTTCGCTTATGACTTTTGATCTAATTAAGATAGAGTAAAAAAGCACCAGTGAACTCAGCACGGCAAGGCGCGTCGAATGATATACTTTAAGCTTGCTTAACACGCGCAGTGGAAGGGGGGGGGGCGGATTTCGCCCACCCCTCCTGTTTTTCGCCAATAACTCGCGCTGCAAACATAATATTACCTAATGTGAAATTTCGGCTACCTGTCCAGAATTGAATTGCGGATCTTCTCGTGCAAGAAATAAAAAATCGGTTAACAACTTTTCTAGTAATAGCGGTGTAAAGTCAAACATCCTGCCGCCGCGGCGGCGCGGCGGCGCGGCGGCCCCGGCGCTAGCCGTTACGCGCCGCCTGAATTGTAGACTGTGCCGGGGCGTGACGGCTCCGTCTTTACATCGCGCTCCTTACCGCTGATTACATAAGATTCGCGTCAAATTCGGTGAAAGGACTGAAAAATGTACAGGCAATCATATGGTCAAAGAATTTTGAAAATCGGCCGGTAACAACTTGAGTTATGAGTGTGTAAACACAAAATTGTGATTGCCGCGTTTCCCGCGTCGGCCGATCCCGCTTCAGCCGGCGACATCTTACCCTTAGCAGGCTTCTAACTGCCGTATTCATTGTTGGATTATCTAGAAATTCACCATACATACTCACAAATGTTTGTTCTTTCGTATAGTGAAAAAAAAAAACAGAAAATCGGCCGGTAACTTTTTGAGTTATCGGCGTGTAAACGCAAAAAAGTCGCTAATATGGCAGATTTGACCACATTTGACCTTATTTGACCTTGAAGATATTGACCTAGGGTCATGAAATTCACACACAACAGAGTTCCCCATGGCCCCCACCTCCCCTCCAAATTTCGTTTTTCTAGCTCCAGTGGGAGCTGAGATCTTAGGGGGGGGGCGACATCCGCCCCCCCCCCCCCCTGCCACTGGGCGTAGTACTCGCAACCCTTCCACTGCGCGTGTTAACTGTACTTAAAGTTTTTCTTAAATTTCAAGTAAACTTTAATTAATTAATTAAATTCAAGTTAACCAAATTGCATTATATCGCATATCATTCGATTCGGCTGACCACCAGAAACACAATGATACCAGTTTTTAAGCTCTAGCGTCATTATGTGCCAAGTTATTGGCAAAAACGTCATTTGACCTCAGTTGACCTCATTTGACCTGGCCCATGGATAAGTACACCAAACAAAGAAGCAACAAGTGACCTGCTGTTAAGTACTGTGGTTTCAAAGCACAAAAATGATAGAACGAAGCGGATATCTCCAGTATTTTCCGAATTTAGTATTTTCACATAGGCTTAACATTACGACGTAATGACCTCTAACTGACCTAAGGTCAGTGACCTAAAAAACCCGAACTATATGTTATACAAATCGGTGAACTTAGCACATCCTGAAAGTTTGAATGAAATCAGTCCAAAACTGTGAGTTGGACAGGTGCAAAAAGAAAATTGAAATTTGACCATGACCTTGTGCCGGTTTTTCTGACCTGGTGACCTGAACCAAAGTCACCCGGACCTGAAACTTTTAGGTCATATGTAAAAAGGTTGCCCCATAGGCTGTGCTAAATTTGGCGGCGCGTTTTTACGCTATCTTCGAAAAAACCTTAGGGGGGGGGCGCATCGACCCCCTGCCAGGGCGAGGGTTAAGATCGTAAGCGAAGGATCGTAAAGCAAAGGATCGTATGAAAAAACTCGTAGGAAATGATGGAAGAAAAGTGAAAACCTCGGTCTTAAAAAAAAAGATATATCCGGCGCTCGGCTTCTTTCCCAGAGCCGTTCAATAATAAACATTCCCATGCGTCGATTAACCGCTGTACTTCTTTGACATGCATTTTATTTATTTTTTTTTTTTAATCAGAACTGTGGGTTATCAACCCGTGCCGGAAAGCAGTGCAGAAAAGATCACGTGCAATGTTTCCTGCACGGCTAGGACAATGCTTAAGGGATATCTCGGCGTATGGAAATATTCCAGTTGAATTAATAATTGACACGGATTAGATATTTTTTCAAAATCACGAAGATCACAAAACCCTCGCAAGTTCAGCTTTACTTACTTACATAATGAATCAATATGATCGCCTTTTTGGTCACATTTTCCCCACACTCAAAACCGACAGAAATGCCTGAAATTTGGTAACGTTAGAACTCAAAATAGCCATGTGTTTCAATTCACGACAAACATAGGCGGCGGAAGGCGGAACGGGGAGGGCACCGGGGCACCGTGATCCGTGACCCCTTTGATTTTTACATTCTAACATTAGCCCTATCTATGGGGGTTGCGTGGAAAGAATGGGACCAAAAGTCGGCAGTGCCCCCCGCCCCTTAATTGAAAGTGTTCGACCGCCTCTGGGGACAAACGAGGGTGGGGCGGGTCCCAGAAATGTGTGGAAGTCCGTCAGCTAGTCTGGACAAACCGACGCCAAATGTCGACCGCTCATTGGTCAATACCGTAACCACGTGGCCGCAGTCGATGCGGCAGTCGGGAGGGGTCCGGTGGGCGGGGTCCGGCGGGGGAGGGGAGGAGAGGGGAGTCGCCACCACGGAGAGGTCATCACTCGGCCTGAGGCGGTCCGCAAGTGGTGTCGGCAGCGGAGCAGGAACACATCGTCATGAGGGAGATTGTCCACCTTCAGGCCGGGCAGTGCGGCAACCAGATAGGATCCAAGGTGAGAGACACACCGGCACCCGGCCACTCCATGGGTATACCTATCGGCTCGGGTGCTCGGCTGTTGAAACCAAGGTGTAAAAATGTGGAGGTATCGTTTCGACGTAAATAGTTACACATGCTAAGTGCGTCTATGCATCGATAATTGATATACAGCTGAATCACCCATGCCCTCCTTGTATCGATCGTGCTGGTTTCCCTATTTAAAAGGATAAACATATTCGTTGAGCCATTGTACAGCTTTATGCACCTCACGTAGGTACATATGTACGTGTGCGGGTCATTTAACCGGTTTGTGTACCTACATGTGTGTCGGATATTGGGGACGCCATGACACGGGTCGGAGGGGCGGTCAGACGGGACATTTGCAGAGGGGCACACACGCCAGTCACCCTGCCATTCGGCCCAGTCCGGTCAGCGTAACAGCGGCCCTGCACGGCTCCGCATGGTGCTTGATACTGCACACCATAGTGCACAGTGCAGAGCACACCCTGCACAGCACACAGTGCATAGCAGACGGTGAAGAAGTAGAGGCATCGTCGCGATGTTTTTTTTTTAATATTATTCAAGCTTAAACACTAAGGTAACATAGTCCAGACATGTTATCCAAATCGGCAAATCAGTAATTTAATCCGGTAGAGTCAATTTGTAGCTCACCAAAAATTGACGAAAAAACATCGACGACGGTGGCGCTAACCTATAAAGAAGCGTTTTGCTCTTCATACGGTTCAATGAGTATTCATCACTGCTGTGTCAAGTTCTTACATATGACGCATTATGTGACACTGGTAATCGCGTCATAAGCGCCATTCAGACGTGGAAACCTGTTGCCATTCGGCCCAATCGATCATGCTTGCATGGGTTCAGCAGACGACTAGAAAACTGACTACAATTAGTATCATCTCAAGACTAATTTCATGACCAACAAGTTTCATAATGCTCCATGGCGTGTCAAAAGTGGAAATAGCCGCCCGGCTTTAGTTCGCCAGCCTTGTCAATAGATGGCAGTACCACAATATGGGCAGCGGATCGTGCAATTGACGTCAAATTTTCGTTATCTGCTAAGAATTGAATGGCGGATCTTTTCATGCAAGAATCATGTAAATCGGTCCACAACTTTTCTAGCAACAGAGATATGAAGTCAAACACCCTGCCAGAGCGGCGGCGCGCGGCCGGCGGCGGCCGTTACGCGCCGCCTGGGAGACTGGCGGCGCTGAACGGTTCCGACTTGGCACTGCACTAAAACCTGTTAACTGCTTGGAATGGTTATTATAGCAAAATTTTCATTCAAGTGAGGGATAACCAAGGGCAGGAAGTATGTATGCTTGTGTGCGTACTGTGTAAGCCAAGAAACTGCATTAGCAGATACTCGCTAATATTAGATCCAGCCAAGTCCAAACGCATTCCAGGGGATGTGTTCCTGATGGGTCAACAATATTTATCGTTCGAGGGCGGATACAGTTTTAACAATACAAATAATATTTTTGCACAACTCTATTCCTTGAATAATTCTCTTCAACGCCTCATTCCTAGTTACGCGAATTAGCCCACCCTGGTTGAATTAATAAGGCGATTTCGCCACAAGGTCGCGGAAAACCGACCGAAAACGGCCGCGCTCAGCGTTAATTTGGGCATGCAGACTCTTAAATACTCGCATTGGGCGGGTAGGGTTTCCCAGGTATTGGCTCCAAAAATCCGTGTTCGGCTACCGAATACGTCCAAGTGACCCGCCTCGTTCCTAGTTAAGCTCTAATTAGATCAAGTGACTCATAAGGAGCGAAAAAGCGACAAAAAGCATGAATTTCCCTATGGCGGCGGGCTGCCGGGTTGCCAGACGGCGCACCGGCTATTTCCACTTTTGACACACCATGCGACCAAATGCTTACCAGATACTATGGGCGTGGTCGCTGACCAAAGCCAGCCACGAGGTATCGACGAGAGGGTCGTGACGTCATTGACCTCACGTGACTCACCACGATCGATCGGTGTGCTGGCCAGACGCCCCCCCCCATGGGCGGAAGCCCGGGAGGGGGTACATCGCCACTGGGCGTGGTCGGAAGTGTTTTTGCAGCCTGGGGAGGGGGAGGGGCTGAGGGGATGACCCGGTCACGGAACTGCGGGGGGGGGGGGCGGAGGGGGTGACCTGGTCACGAAATGTCGCTGCATGTCGTCCATATGCGCCCCCGGCGACCGGTCGCTGATGGTGAGAAATTGGGGAGGGGGGGGGGGGGGTCGGCCTTCTATAGCCCCTGGTGTTGGCCTCAGAGCGCCCCCTGCTAGCCAAAACAGCCTCTTTTTGCTTCAGAATGCCCTCTGCTGATCCCAGAGAACACCCTGTTGACCTAAGAGGTCCCACTGTTGGCCTCTGAGCGCTATAGCTGCTGGTATCAAAGGGTCCTGTGGGGCCAACAGAGACCCGGCCGGCTCTTTGTACCGGGCTCGAAACACTCAATACAATTCCAAAGATTCATTACACCAAAAATTTGGAAAACGCAGTGACCAAATTGGTACCGGCTGTTGTGGAATAGAACATTGAATTGCAACATTGAATTCAATAGAGCATTGAATAGAACAGAAAGTTGGCGTTTGATGGACACATTGCCAAGGAGTGAGGTTGTCTGTTATCGCGACTGGCTCATGTTTTATACAGTATGCACGCTGCGGTCCTCCCGTTAGACAGTAGACATATGCACGTTCCCGGTGACCTCCCGGGCGCTCTGCCGAGGTGAGCAGGCGCTCACAGCACGCTCACCAGTCGGGCTGAGCACACGGCACGGACGGCACGGGCGGCACGGACGGCACGGACGGCTCAGCAGTGGTGCGGCTATAGGTGAGTGTACGAGTACTGTATAAGTGTATACTATAGGCAATGTAGGTACTATATAGGCACTGTATAGGCACTGTGTACCTACTGTATATTATAGAGTGATGTCAATGTAGAACCACAACCCGTCTGATGTAAAAAAACACGGGCATGTGCCCAAGTAAAATAAATCAAATTGGATCAAGCAAAAGTTAATGGAAAAATACGTATGTTTTTGTTCGAGAATATAAGACTGCCAGGCAAAAACAAATAATTAATGAATGTTGGGCTCACCGCTGTAGTCTTCAAGTTAACCCTCGCCGACACAGGCCATTTTGCGTCCTTCGACGGCACAAGAAGGTGTGTGTGTGTGTGGGGGGGGGGGGGGTATGACCCCTCCCCCTCGCGTTTGGTCCCTGATCGAGCTAAAGCTTCGCGAAAAAAAAACGAGCGCGTTGCCCGTGACAAGAGGAAGCCGATGATATCCGATTTTAACCTTCGCCCCAGTGGAAGGGGGGGGGGCATATGTTACCACCCGTGACGTTTTTTGCGTGTAAATAAAAAACCGCGGCGCGTAGCGCCGAGCCGCATGGGGTAGCTTTTGGTACATCAATTTTGGACAATGTGTGAATTTTTTTACCCAGGTCATGTCAGGTCAGGTCACCAGGTCAAGTTAACTGACCAAGCCTAAAAAAGTTTGCAAACATGTCGAGCCTGCAGTGTTTGTCAGAAAGGTTTTAAACTTGGTGGATTGCATGATGTTATGGGCGCCTACAATTTGTATATCTCGGATTTTTTATATCCGTGACCTCAGGTCAGGTCAGTGGCGTGACCTTTCCATTACAAGTCAATAGAGAAAAATAAAAATGCCTCTAGATCCGTGTGTACGCATAGGAACAGTCCAAATATTTCAGAATTACAATGATTTGGACCACCCGTGATGACTAAGGTGTCATTTTTGCTGATAGCCCCTAGAAAGGTCATCCGAGGTCATTTGAGGCTACAAACAGTGTTTTGCCAATAACTCGCGATTGGAAAGAGCTAGAACGCTGGGGATGGCCTCATTGTGTTCGTCTTGTTGAGACGCATCGACTGATATGCAACATGACCTTTTCCGGTCAGGTCATGACCTTGACCTGAGGTCAACTTTTCAAGTTGACCTTTCAAAGTCAAATTATAGTTCATTGGACGCGTCTCGGCGAGAGGAACACGATTCTGGCAACAGAAATGTCGTGGCTTTAGTAGTCGAAAGTTATTGTCGAAAAACACTTTCCGTAAAAACAGCTATTTTTGGAGTTTTTGCTAAACCGTTGGCCTGAGGTCAATTTTGATAATAACCTTATCAAAAGAAGAGTTCAAAAGCTATCGATTGCTTTTCCATGCGTTTTTCTAGCTACCATAGTTCCTGAGATAACGGCATGTTTTCTGAAAAATATAATGACAATTGGCAAATTTTGACCTTTGATGACCTCTGGTGACCCCAATATTGCTCTAAGATGAAGAATGTTTCAAACGTACTTTCAATACTTTCAATACAATACAAATACTTTCAAACGTACGCATTGAGAGCTATCGACTGCTTTTTACCGCGCGTCTTTCTATCCCTCATAGTTTTTGAGTTAGAGGTGGGTGGTAACATATGCCCCCCACACTAGGGCGAAGTTAGCTGAGACCGCCACTGGGGCGCGGGTTAAGGTTCTAGGTCATCGGTTGTCCTTCCAGGTCTGGTCAATGACCCTAAAGTCGGGAAAATCGGGACCTGCTAGAACGTCGTAAACTGTAGAGTGTAGCTGCTTAGGGCTTTTTCGGGGTAGGTACCTACTGATCACGAATATCATCAGTTTTAATCACAGGTGATGTCTTTATGCATTAAGGCCAGGTCGGGTCAGGCCAGGTCAGGTCATATTGCCGGGTATTCGTGTCGGGTATTCGTAGTACGTGTCAACCGCTTCTGATAGGCGATAGCTTCGTAACATGTTTCGAAGGCACCAAAACCAGCCACTTCGTAAATTTTCAAATGGTTACTAAATTCGAATTCAGCTCCAAAAACTAGCCTAGAAACGTGTAAAACTCGAAAAAGTGGACCGAGGTCATCAAAGTTCAATAACCTGACCTGACCTTCAGGTGACCTTGAAATCCACCCTAAGGCATAGGAGCAGCATCAAATCACATTTTGAACGCTGGAAACCACGAAAGGA